CAGAGTAATTAGAAATATCTAAATACTAGTTATTGACATTATTATGACTAAAATCAATTAGAGATTTTATATATATTATCAATACATATTGTCGACTTACAAAACAGCAACGATACAGCTATTAAAATATTGCAAACTAATATGCTTTCATTGGATTAAACAGAAAAATACAGTATATATTGCTAAATGAGGGTCAATAACATTTGAAATTCTAAAATTTCCTAATTCAAGTATGAAATTACACCTGTATATACAGTATCTCAATTATATTACACCAAATTGTTGTAAGTAAATGCCTTTAGCAGTCTACATTTAAAGAAAACACGGAAAGAATATACGTAACAGACAAATGTACATAAGCATAATTACATATGTATATATATTCACTCATACATATATAAATACCATTCAATAGGTAAAATATTTGACTTTTAATTTATTATAATTAAGGTAATTAAAACATTGATTTATTCGTTGTAAAAGAAAAACGCTAAAGGAAAATAAAGTAAAGTCTAGTAAATAAACTTTATTTAGAAAATGAACCAGTTAGTTTACCATCAATTTCTTGTTTTTTTCTACGTAAATAATTATCTTTTATACATATGTATATACTACGTATTCAGTATAAGTATTTTGTGTTTTTTTTTTACTTTTTCTTCTCTTTCTTTTAGTATTCTATAGAAAATATTAATAAAATATTCAATAACCAAAATGTATATATATATATATATATACCCGCCTTTGTTTATATTATCAAAAAGACTTTACCCTTTTTCTTTTAAGATTTACAGCTTTTTATAAAAACATGGTAAATTAACGTCATCATTTAATCGGACAAGGACAAAAGTTGAAAGACCTTCCGATCGTATATAATAAGCTTATGAAAAGAGAAAAAAAATGATGAGTTAGACTTACCTGGAATACTGATTCATAGGCTGTTTATAGCTGCCAAGTATATTTTCCCATAAAAGAGAAAGATAAAGGGAATGGGAAAAACAACTAGATGATAGGGGCAGGTAAACAGGCAAGCAAGCAGGCAGGCAGGCAGACAGACAAATAATAAATTCAATTAAATATATATTCTTAAAAATCATATACAGTATACATAGTATACATACTATATAAATTTATATATAAAAGTATATGCAATGCTGTATATATAAGCTCTTTTGTTACACGAAGAGTTATAAATATATATGCTTATATGGTAATAAGGAGAAAAGTCATGTTATTTATATATATTCAGACAAATGACATGTCTAGGAATTCAACTTGATTTATTTCCCTTTAAATATTGTAGAAATAGAATTAATCCTATATGATTAATTCTCAAACACTATATAATTATACTGTATATTAAAGTTTATATCTTATCACTATCAAGGGTATTTTATATTATTAAATTAAGTTATCAAACATCTAACTTGATTGCTATACTTAAAATTGATTTTTATATCGTACTTGCTCTTTAATCATACATATTAAAACAAAGCATTAAGCGTAAACATGCATAACAATTTAACTTAAATTCATACCTAAAGTCTATATAAAAAAAACGGAGACAAAGTAATTATCTAAGCCTTTAATGAGGACAACTAGTGCAAATAAAAAAAATTCATAATATTAGACCTTGTATGCGTACTTTATAGCATCTTTACCAGTTTCTTCAAACAATATATAGCCGTTTTATTTCTTTCTTTCTTGGCCTTTCATTTGAAAAAAACTTGCTCTAGATATTTTTAAGTGCAAAGGAGTCATCTGCACTCAATGTACGTTTAGTTTAAACTTTTCCTCTCAATGATTCAAATTAATCTTTTAATTATTAATACCTTTCAAATAGTACTCTGAATATATATATTTACAGTATACAGATAAGTTATATATACATTTACATATATATGTATATTCACGCAATGTTATTTTGTTTAACGTATAACTTAACTATATTAATAAATTATTCGCTATCAAACAATATTTCAACACCCACGAGCTCTTTTACATTGGCCAAATTTTTCTTGGTCAAGTGTACCTAATGTAATTTGGCCTCTTTAAACATAATTTTATTTTTATACTTGTTTTTATTTAAGCCTCTTTATACTATTTGACCTAGTTTTCTACTTTTTAGTGTTATTATAGGTTTTATATAGATACGTTATTTTTTTTTATATCAAACTGTTAAGCATTATAATATTCTACCTATTTCGAACTTAATTAAACTTAAAATAGTCCTTTAATGTTGATCTCTTTTTAACTTGAGAAATAAATTACACAAATTTCTTCAAAAAGCATCTTAAGGAGAGAAGAAAGGATAGGAAACAAAGGAGAAAGATTAATTTCTAATTATCATTACTTCTTTTATAATTTTCTAAGGATTTTGTTTGTTCCTAGTCTCTTCTCTTTCTTTTTGTCGTTACTCTTCCTCCATTCCCACTCTTTTCTTTCTTTCTTTCTTTCTTTCTTTCATTTTCTATATGTACAAATATTCAATCATCTATTTAATATCCAATTTCCGTTCGATAATTCAAGATGAATTGCTAAATTCATAATAGCTCTTTGGAAAAAAAAATAAACAAGAGCCGCCTTTTTTAAAAAAAAAAAGGCGTTTCCTTATCAATATATAACACAAGATAAAAAATCTTTAATATTTGTCTATTTATAATTAAATAGTTCACGGATTCCAACAATAATTCGAATTGATGATACGAAAATTGTTCAATAAAGATCTGTTCTTCAGGTTCATTAGTAAGTAACTATTTTTAAAGCTTCAAAGAATTAAATTGAATTACTTAATTTAATTATAAGGGAACGCTTTAGAAGGACGTTTCCTTAGAACATTTCATTAGATATTTAGGTAAGTTATCATTATATATACTGTATATATATACATGTATATATATATATATATATATATATATATATATATGTTAGTATATCATACTTTTCGCTCATTTCCTTCAGTCACTTTCTAAACTTTATGAATATGTTTATCAGCCCAATATGAATTATACAAACCAGAGTACTTGTCATTGTCGTGAGCTGCTTTAATTATTGCAAACGTGAGAAAAGAATTGAATTGGTCTCATTTTTAAAATTTAATAATACATATGAATGGAATCTTTAAGAAGGAGAAGTGAAAAAGTCTACTATTCTGACCCTATTTTAAGACTGTTTTTAGTTCGTAAACGTTCTTTCACCTGTACAGTAACGATAACTTTCATTCAATAAAGTACTCAACAATCACCTTCCATTTTTTCCCCTTAGTTTTCATTAACTAATTAAATAAATGAGTTTTTTTTCAATTAATGAAATTTTTCAATTTAGACCTAAAATTATTTATAGAAAGAATTCACTGTTATTCTGTTACATAACATACTCACTTTTTATTGCCTTTAAACCTGTTTTTTTCTATTTTTTTTGTGTTTTAATTAAACTTTCCTTTTGTTTGAAGAAAAAGAAGAGTGAAAAAAAAAATACATAAAAAATTGTGTTGACTAAGATGAAAAATGTTGGAAATTGTTGCATGCCTCTTTTTATTTGCATATACTTTAGAACAGATTGTAATAGAACAGTTTATTTTCGCTAAACTGGGAAATTCTACAGAAATCAAAGGGTTTAATTGTTCTATTGGAAATCTAATACAAAATGAATTGGCTTCTAGGTGGATGATATACTTAGAAGTCGCAACAAATTTACCCGGAATTGTAACTAGCCTTTATCTCGGCTCGTACAGCGATAAAAATGGTAGAAAGTTAAGCTTTCTACTTCCGAGTTCATTCAGTCTGATCAAATGTTTTATCTGTTCAGTGGTTATTCAATTTGATCTAAATTTATGGATTTTTACCATAGGCTGCGTAATTCAAGGCCTTGGAGGTGGAAAATTTGCCTTAATGATGGCGACATTCGCAACATTATCCGATAGGACGACAAAGGAGCAAAGATCTTTCAGGATCATGCTCCTACACGGCCTTATGGCAGTCGCTGCCACTATTTCGAACATAATTAGCGGCATTGTTATATCAAAATTTGGTTATATAACAGTTTTCTTTATCCTCGAGAGTGTTTACGCATTGTCCTTTCTCTCAACATTCTTTCTTAGCGAAAAGAATCATGACCGGAAGTTGTCAAGAGCTTTTTCCATAAAGTACATGCGAAATTCATTTGATCTTTATCTGAAATATGATGGAACACCTAGGAGACGCGTTTTACTTGTTTCCGCCTTGATATCACTATTAGCCGGAGGAGCATGGACTGGTCGAAAATCGCCAACGATATTTTATCTCAAAAGTCCACCTTTCTGTTGGAATGCATTCTTAATTGGCCTTTTCTGGGGTGTCTATATATTTTGGGCATATTCTACTAGTACTCTTTTAACAAGATTTCTAGAAAAGCCATTATCCGATTATGGACTAATCTTAATCGGATGTGTAATGTCAGTTATTTCAATTGTGACATTTGCATTCTCACAAGTAATATGGGTAGTGTTTTTATCAGTTTTCCTTACAATTGGGATAGGATGCATTATACCAATGGTCAATTCAATCAATTCAAAATTGGTCAACGAAGAGGATCAGGGCGCTCTTTACTCGGTCATATCCTGCATTGAATCTGTTTATACCCTTTACGGATCAGTTGCTTTTAATGCTATATATTCTACTACTGTACACGTTTTCAAACCGATTATATTTTTGGTTAATGCTGCTGTCTATATCGTTGTAGGCGTTTTAGTCATGTAAGTAATTGGGTCAATTATTAGTAATTCATATATTTATATACATAAATATCTATTTATATATTGATATTTGTTCTATTTTTAGGTACATGAGGCGAATACAACAGTGAAAGGCGAATAAAGACTTTCTTAAATGTTCTAGATTAAATCAATTTCTCTACTTTTTTTGATTAGGCATTGATAAATAAACTTTATATAGGCTTAATACGATATATTTTAATTGGTTCAGCGCCACTACGCGTCGCTGTACTCGAAAATTGACCTTGAATGCATTTTACTTACCCATAGATGGCGGCAGGCGTTTCTGTTGTATTGGCAGTTCGTCACAAAAAGATTTGTACTTGAGAATTTAGCGCTTTTTTTTCACTCGAACTCGTCTGAGGAATAATTAGTGCATACAGGTAAGTGCAAATATTTGTTTACATCAAATCTTCGATTGTTCGATGGCAGTAGCATAGCCGATGCGTTTGATAGAGGTTAAAATATTAGTGCAGCGGTCAAGGTAGGAGTGTTTTGGGCGAATGACCTAGTAAGCGGAATTTTTAAGTTCTACCGATCGTACTTCGTACATTTCATACTATTAGGAGGTTCTAGAAGGCGATAAATTGTTAAAGTTGTTTAACGACCATTCTATTATTGTGACGTATTGATTACAAAATGCGTGGCATGGCAAGTCGACCTCGTTTTCGCGACATAACGGACTATCTTTTATCTCAGTAAGTAATTTAGCGCACCTGCTCAACCTGCGTGATTTACGTTGATCCCCAAACCTAATTTATATCCAAGTTTTATTTACGCTGCAAAATCCTTTACTAATATGCTATTGGAATTTTAAAAATGACGTATTTTTCTGTGGGCGTTATAGTAAACAATATCTATAGACGTAGAAAGTTAGTCCAGTCTGGCTGTGGGACTCACAGTATGCTAATAAGATGTAGGCCTCTGTTGTGTATAGGCTCAGCGTGGCTTTGTTCTGCTATCGATTTCCGAATCGAACTCTACTGATAAACAATTACGTCAAGTATTTGTGAATATTCATTAGGCAACTACTCTATATTGCTATTGATTGAGTGTCCTTCTTCTGGGAAGACGTGAGCGACGTCTGTCGAGAGATTTGTATTATTTCGTATAAAATGGAATCGGTAGCGAACGAAGGGTAAATACTACGTTAGAATACGGCATTTGGCAGTGTTAATAAAACATCTTACATTTGTTTATTAGAACCACCGCGAAGCGGCCCGTGAACGCTTTCTTAATATTTTGTAAGCAACATCGTAATCGTGTTAGACAATCAAATCCCACTATGGATAACCGGGCGGTCACAAAGCTTTTGGGTGAAATTTGGGCGAAAATGAGACCAGATGAGAAGAATGAATATCTAGATAAGGCGCAAAAGGTAAAGAGCTATATAAGGCATTGCTGACAGGACGACGACCTTGGAATAGTCATGACTAATCAGATTAACTTTTTCCATAGCAAAAAGAAGGTTTTACCAATAAAAATACGGAATATAAATGGCACTCTTATCAGCATAAACTGGCAAGAGAAAATTCCAGTAATCATGAAGGTGGGTAATTTTTATGTTCTATTGTTTTTTTTTGTCCGAATTACAACCGCCACGTGACCGAAACATATACTATAGAGGGCGTAATAAAAAGTAATAACATTTCAAAACACTGACTAAGCTCGTGTATCATCAAATGCTTGTCGGGATATGTTATTCATACGTGGTTTTTTTTCTAAAAACTTGGTTGCCTAATCATTATTAGTCAGCAGAGCTAGAAATTTCTCAATGCCGATTGGCCGCCATTATTTTGCTTTATTATTCCGCTAGTCGAGGTTATTGCATACTATTTCGAAACTAGGAAATTTTACGCAGTCGCAACTTTATTTCGGTTTTCCTGCTGGTCAACCGCAAGTTTTCTGCAATTTTCTTGGCGATAAAGAACATTTAATTATGCCTAAATTACGTAATTGGAAAAAGAAGGCTGCTAGTAGACGTGCTGCCCTTATTCGATGGGGCAAAATTAATCCTAGTTGTAAGTCAAACTTTAAGGCTATTCCTCACCTATTTGTTCTTACTTTCGCTTATCCGTCTCTGTTCTTCGATACTGATAACTAAACGAACACTTATTCTTCGTATTATCTTTTTTCATCTGTCATTATTCATTAAGTTATGCTTTAACTCTTTGTTATTTTTTTTCTTTTACAGCTACAATACAGCCTCAACTGAATGATTCACCACAAAAAATGGCGCCTAAAACCGTTCAGGGAAGAATGGGTGGTTTAGATATGCTACTTCTTGCAGGACAACAACAGCTCTACAATGACGAAGCAAAAATCAAAGCTGTCCATCCCCCTCGTCCAGTTCAAGTTCCTCAACAGAACCTTTCTTTATACGAACGACAAAACAACATTCCGAAATTGGCTACGCCAGCCTTAACGAGCTTCAGTCCACATTCCTCAGAAAATACAAATGCAAGAACCTTTTCTCAAAGACAATCACACGCGACCGTTTTAAATCGTTCGCTCAATTTTGTACAACATCCCTCTCAGCCTCATCAGCTACCTCCTTGTGTTTATCCTAATGAAAATGTACACAATTCCACGCATTTAACTAGGACATACGACCAGAATATACCTATTGATTATTCTAGTTCCAACGATATGCCTTTAGATTTATCTTGCAAAAAAGGGAAGGACGAAAAACAAAAGAAAATGTCGCTGATGCAATTGGCTGAAATGTGTTCATCTCAACTACAAGCTGTAGAATCACAGAAGCCACCTCAAAATCAATCTACTCCTAAAAGGCAGCCGAGTCCTGCAAAACCATTAAATACTGCGTTGAACGGTTCATATCAGAGTTTATCTGCTTTCATCTCTCATAAAATTGAAACTACAGTAAGAGGTGGTGACACCCAAATACCAACGGTAAATACAACAGTAAATAAGAAGGACGAAAATTGGAATGAAAGAAAAAATGAACCGAAACAAGAACAACTAAATGGTAAAATGATGATGGATCGAATAATTGAAAATTTGCTAAGTCAAAACACATCTAATAACTCAAAGTCAGGCGTTTCTAGGTCAGCCATGTTTCAGAATGCGATGGTCAAAGCGGAAGGTCAGCCTTCAGAGAACAATGTTTATCAACCGGTGAATACGAATACTAGTTCAAAGATGAAGATGAAGACAAACGCAAACTCAAACGCTAATACACATACAAATTCAAATATAAGTGTAAATCCCAATGCGAACTCGAGAAATTCTGCTCCGCCAAAAAAGAGATACCAAGCCCAAGCAGCAAACACGAAAGAAAAGACTTTTGTAAATTACGGCGATGTCCAAGAATCGCTCATACGAAGTATTATTTATTCAGATAGTCAAATGGTAAAAGATGAGAAGGAGGAGAAAAAGATTGCCGTTGTCCCTCCACATACGGCTACTGCCGTTAAACAGTCTAATCATTCACACCAATCTAATCATTTGAAGGAATTAAGTAAAACTCCAGTGTCTTTGACAACCATTGGAAAGGGTTTACTTAATACTCCAACTATCACGGCCATGGCAGCAGTTATACCGCATGTGATGTGGAATCACAATCATATCGACACACCTAACGACGTGCCAAAAGAAGGAAGTCATCAGCCTTTACCATCTCAAAAACGTACTGCCACTGATGAAGAACACATACCACCTAAAAAGAGGAGGGAGCACAGAATGGTACATACACCTCAAGAACAAAAGAAGGAAGAAACAAAAGAGCCCCGGCCTTGTAATAAAGGTAGCTAAAAAGCTTTTGTTCTCCTCCTCGATGTTAATCGATTTGTTTGATTCCAGTGAATGAGAAAGTACAGCAGAATAACGTAGTTGTATCTTCTTCTGAATCTACTACTTCAGCAAATTCTTTGCCTGCCTCACCCGCCAACTCATTAACTGGTTCTCAAAAACGAAAAGCTCGACGGAAAGGTATTACCCGCCTGATTGTCAACAAACCTGATACTTCAAATGCTGGTAAATAAACTATCTAATAATAAATTTGTTTTTGCAGTTTTATTAATTAATCAATATGCTTATTTTCTTCTTTAAACAGAACCAGGATCACCTACCACCAGCGAGGGGTCTCAATTATCTCAGTCAGTTTCAGATAGCGAAATGTCAAGTAACGAACAGTCAGCAGAAAGGAATAAAAAGTCTGAAACGGAAGTTGGGACAGAAAAGCGTAATAACTCACATTCAGCAAACGATAACGAAGAAGAGGAGGACGAAGGTCGATTAGTTATTGATGAATGATTGCAGTGCATTTTTTTCTATTACTACGTCGAAAATCCGATTCTTATTTTAAATGTGTTTTTTTTTTAATTGTACAGACTACTATCATTTTAAAAGAATTGTTTTGTTAATGACTAATTTAGTAATATTCCTCTTTTAAAGCTTCAAAATATTTTGAAGCATTTCAAATACATGGATTATTTGTAAAATATGTTCTATTTATTACGGAAGAAGATTGTTTCAAGCGTAATTTGATACAAGATACAGTTAATTGTATAAAAATATCGTAAAAATGAAGTTTTTGTATAACAACAAAGTCTTACTTAATCGCTGTTTTTATCAGATTAATAAATATTAATAAAAATTAAAAGTAGCTAACTGTACTATTGACCTAGATCAACATTCGTAACATTTCCAGATAATTCACCTATCAATTTAAGGTCAAATATTGACACCATGTTTACGATTTATACCGCCATCTTTCGATAACAAATTTGTTACACGGTCTTTTCGTAAATAATTTTTTATTATGATTTATTTATATATTTTTCATAGTATATCTAAAAATTTTGGGATAAATATGAGTAACTATCCATGGGATTAACAGTATATGAATAACTCGATCCAATTGATTAATCTGTACCAAAATACTTCATTCCGAAATGTTTTGGAGCAACTGAATTTACTTCAGATGTTAAGATTTTTAAGCCTTTAAGATCTTTTAGAGCTTTCACACCTGTGCGTTAATAAAAAGTAAATAATAAAATAAAAGTAATCATAAGTAAATAAAAGAAAGAAATAACTGAACATTGAAATTTAACCTTGTGGAGTGCAAAATAAATTTAAGACTATTATATTGTGGAGTTCGACAGAGTGATTCTGTAACACTCGAACAGCTTTTATGATCGTATTTCCAGTACCTGTTTTATAAAACATTCTCCATTAACATATATATTAAAACTATTGGGGTTAATTTACTTACTCATTATTGGGTACATTAATAAAACTTTGCGCTTATGTATGTCAGAAGGAAATTTTGAATAAAACAATTTAGCTTCTTGAGTGTCTTCCTCGCTTTGTATGAGGATTTTACCAATTCTTATAGATCTGCAACAATCCCGTAAGCCTTTTTCCATAGCTTCACCGCTTCTCATAATGCTTACGCCACAATTTCCTTTTTCGAACATAAGACCTTCATATTCAGAACCTTCCAGAAAAGATTTGTCCATTAGGCTTAAGATTTAAAAATATATAAAAATATATATATGGAGTAATCTTAAACCTGTTGGAGTTTGAACAGTGCTGGGGCTGTATGGCAACTGATTTAGCCCCTCTTCAACGACTAGACGTATCTATAAAAAAAATGAAATAACATATTTGCATTTTTATTTTGCATAGCAATATCGAGAATTGTTACCTACCAAACGATCAGCAGAGAAAATGAATTCATTTCGACTTGTCGTCCTGAAGAAGTTTAAATGTATTATATTTCAAGTACAATTTTTTAAAGGTAACTTACTTATCTCTCAATATTGTTTGCAATTCCTTTATTTGATCTGTCACTTTGAGATGAATTAGTTTACAGCCATAATCTTCATCTTTAGGAATAGTTAAAGTATCTTGAACTAAGTCTGGTTCGCCCATGATGATCAGATATTCTTCGAAACCTCGTGCAGAATTGTATTTTCGACCTGACAACAGGAAGCGGAAACTCTGAACAATAATACAAAAAAGATACCGAACAAGAAAAATACTCTCTAAATATTTAAAATGGCCGCTGTAACTCTTTAGTAGGTTACCATTAGTGCTTTAGTTTATGCTTTTTAAAGATCTCGTAAGACCATTATTATTTTCTATAATAGCTTAAACTTTTCAATTAGTACTACTGTTATCGTTAAATAAATAAAAATCTTATATAGGGTAAATATGAGTGTACTTACGAAGATTGCTAAGAACAAAGTCAAAATCAAAGATGGCGGATGTTGGTAGACGAAGAAATCGATCAGCTGGAACGAACCTCCCAGATTGCTGCAGAATATTACATAATCCTTCCGAAAATACTTTAGTACGAATGTCGTAAGTTTCATAGTTTTTACCAACTAAGAATCACTAATAACGCTGTATTGCAATTTAGATTGTACCAAGAATGAGCCGAGGCGGGGCGAATGGACTTGGCAGTGTCTTGCCAAAAACTTCCTTGAGTTTGGATAATAGAGGGAATATACCTAGTAGGAGAATCGTAAATGTACCAACTACCGCGGTCGATTCTTCTCCCATGCAGGGTACAGCCAGCACCCCTCTCCAACCGCAGGCAACTGTTGTTCCGACAACGATATCTATAGTACCTTCCGATCATAATATGACCGGACACGTTTCCATGTCAACGACTGGACAAACAGCTGATTTAGCTGCATTATTTGAATGTCCTGTATGCTTTGATTACGCTCTACCACCAATTACACAATGTCCATCCGGTCATATAGTTTGCGCCAGTTGCAGACCAAAGTTGCCGTCTTGTCCAAGCTGTCGAGGTCCTATCGGAGATATAAGAAATTTAGCTATGGATAAAGTTGCCGCTAATATACAATTTCCTTGTAGATATCAAAATGCCGGTTGCACGGATATTTTCTTTTATCAGGATAAACCTGATCATGAAGAAATATGTGAATATCGGCCCTATCATTGTCCCTGCCCGGGAGCTTCGTGTCGCTGGCAAGGATCTCTTGAGCAAGTCATGCCTCATCTACGTCACGCACATACCTCGATAACGACTTTGCAAGGCGAAGATATAGTTTTCTTAGCAACTGACGTTACTCTCCCAGGTGCTGTAGATTGGGTTATGATGCAATCCTGCTTTAACGAACACTTTATGCTAGTCCTCGAAAAGCAGGATAAACAGGATGGTGTGCATACCTTTTACGCAGTCGTGCAATTAATCGGAACTAGGAAACAAGCTGAAGCATTTGCTTATAAATTGGAATTAAACGGTCCTAGACGACGATTAACTTGGGAAGCGACACCTCGTTCGATTCACGATGGTATTGCAACAGCAATAGAACAATCCGATTGTTTGGTTTTCGATACAAACATCGCTTTACTTTTCTCTGAAAACGGTAATCTTGGTATCAATGTGACGATATCAGCTTGTAATCAGCAGTGATTACATCCCCTATTGAACTATTATCCTGGCACAGCCAGTCCTGCTCGCCTCTTGAATTATTTTAAATTGTTGTTTTTTTTTCGATGTTAGTTCTTCGGACTATTAAAAGGACTATGATGGTTGCTGCCGCTTACAAGAAGCTAAACCTGCCAATGGATACGGTAGATTTATCCAAAATTAAAGCAGCCTATTCAAATTTATTAAAAGAATTACATCCCGACACTTCAAAATCACCGAATGTTGAGCAACTTCAAGAAATTCGCACGGCATATAAGACTCTCGTCTCTCATATCTCAAAACCACAAACCAAAGTTGAACAAAGTGAAGATATAGTAGAACTTGCAAATAACTCCGAAAGGCAAGCTCAACATAGGCGATTTTTGGAATACGAGGTAAACAATATTAAAATATATATTGCTTTTTAACTTAAGTTTACAATTAATTGAAAAACCGTGTTGAGAATTCTTCAACATAGAAAAGAGCTACAGTACTGTTTTTATTCTGATTGCTGTTTCTGATTGACTATACGTATTAGATATATAAGAAATGTTATATCAAATACTTTAGGACAGTTAATACATAATTAATATCTTTTCCTTTCGCTGATCGACATCAGGAATATGTTTCTTCAATATTAATTATAAACATGTTTTGTTCCTTTATTCCTGGAAAAATACTTGATATTGTAATCATTATAATATAGAAGGACCTGGATTGCTTCTCGTACAAAAAAAATAACGATGAAAAATATGACTCAGATAAAAATCTGGTTTAAATGAATCATTTAATAATATGTATTTGTCAGAAGTTTTTTGCATCTATTTTGGGTTGGAATGCCCTCATCAAAACCAGTCATACGTGAATAATATACAGTGTATTGTTTTAGTCATTGAGGAAAAATCTTTAATTTAATTATATAAACTAGATATTTTTATGTTAGCAAAAGATGTATATAGCATAAAATACGTATACTTTTCATTTGATATTTGACATATAAGCACCCTTATTATATACCAAGAATTATTGTTACCAAGTTTCAATAATAGCAATAATACTCTTTTATGAAAAATATTTCCCTTAGCTGGATTATGAATTGTCCTATTTGGTAGATCGATAATTAGCTTTTTGATTAAATAATACCAGATTTTTATTGAAATTAAAACATATTCTATTCGATTCAGTTTGGAATATATTATTGATTCTCAACAATTCGCATTGCGGCCACACTTTAGGGTATAATTTATCATTTGTTATACTCTCCCTGGGAATTTAACTTTTTCATTAACAATTGTTAGATGTCTTGAAATCCTCTGAGATTATTTTACGCAGTTGTTTTATTTTTAATTAAGCATTCTTTACAACACTTTTATTTATCCATTAATACTTTTATAGGGAATGGGAACTATATTCGAGCGTCAGCGTCAAGCATCCAGCCGACGAGTTCAAAATGCTTTAGATAGTATTCATGAACGAACCGTTTCAAAGCATATACCTCATGGATTGGTTTTAGCTAAGAAACAAAAAGCATCGAATGCCATGGAACGAGTTGTTGAAGATTTAATATTAGAAGCTTTTTCTCGAGGTGATTTTACTAATTTACCTGGATCCGGAAAACCCATTAAGTCGGATGGATTGGTGTCCCATATAGACAGTGCATCATTTCGACTGAATAAAATTTTAATGGATCAAGGATATAGGCCCGAATGGGTGGATCTGCATGCAGATATAAAAAGATCTATTTTGCAAGCAAAACGCAAATTTCGAACTAATCAATCGTTTAGTGAATTGGAAACGAGCATAGTCGAAATCAACAAGAAGGTTTTCAAATACAATTTAATAGTACCGTCCATGCATCAGCAGTTAATGCCCTATGATATAGAGGTTCTTTACAAAAAGTTCCTTGAGTTACCACCATTAATTGAAACTCAGCAAACTTCGGCTACATCTCAAGAGAAGCCTGTTGAATTTAATGACAATATGACATTAAAAGGTTTGCTGAAAGACTGTTGGCGGCATTTAAAGCTCTTGTTTCGCGGCATTTTTTAACTAGGTATTTGCTGATTTTTTTTAAAATTTTCACTCTTTGCACGTGTAATTAATTTGCTTCATTTTTAGATATATTGCGTTTAGTCAAATTGTACATATAGTAAATGTATTAACAAAACGATATCAGAATATAATTTAAAAAAGGTGTGAAGAATAAATATGTATAATTAACGTGTTTATTCGTTCGTCCATCGAAATCAACAGACGTTAGTACGTTAAGAGTTGAATCGACAAAATAAACTTTCAACTATTTCATTTTTTCATCGTTATATCCTTTGAACAATAAAATGCGATAAATCATGTAATAATTATAACTTGGCACAACTTATTGAAAAAGTTTTTATGTTAAATAAAGTGCGTTCTTTGCATTACTATGTCAATACTTTGTTTTTATAGAATTTAATTAAAAGTGGTATCATGACTTCTCGTTAATTTCAGACTTAATGAATTATAAAGAAATTCTATGTTTCTTTTCAATGAAAAGAACTTCCGCCGGGCTTTTCCGGTTTAGATATTTTTCATACAATGTAAACTGGTAGACCACTATTGTGTGTAGAATGGCTACTGCATTACGTTTGTATCTCTCGTTGGGATGTTCCAAATTTTCAAATACCACAGTTGCTCGATGTGGTCAACTAAATGTTAAACTTTTAAATCCTGGGAAGTCAATTAGTAATCAGTCATGGAGCATGCGATTAAATGCTCGTCGCTTCCATCAGGTACAATAACTTAATTTCGGCTTATCTGCGTTCGCCCTTTTAAAAGTTCTTGACAATTTCTTTCAGTTAAGTAAGACAAAGAGTAGTAAAAGGAATTTATTTGGAAAGAATGAAAAGAAGTATAACTTTGTTAGTTGCAATAGTTATGTAAATACTCCTGGAACTATTCAAAATAATTGAATTTTCAGAGTTATCCAATAGTACGAAAGTGTTTTCATCCTGGCGTTTCAAATATTTCGAGAGATGCAATAGCAGGAAAACAAGCCAAAGTAACAGGATGGGATATAGCAAAAACAATGTTAACCTATGTTTGGCCCAAAAATAAAAAAGGAATAAGGATCAGAGTAGTCATTGCACTATCTCTATTAGTTGGATCGAAAGTAAGAAAATATTCAATAACTTTTATGCATCTGTTAAAAAATTTAAAGTTCACAGAGCGATATATTATTTTCTTTTGCTTCTTATCACAGGTCTTGAATATTCAAGTGCCTTTTCTTTTCAAGAGTCTAGTTGATCATCTTAACGATAAAAATAATTTGCTTAATATGACTACACCTCAGAATACAGTAATAACTTTAGCAACTGCTCTTGTTATAGGATGTACGGTGACATTTATAGCCTCTCCAAATTTTAAGTCATTTTTTAAATATGGCAATTATATGATTTCATTCTGCAGATGGCGTAGCTAGAGGAGGTGCTGCTGGTTTTAACGAACTTAGAAATGCTATATTTGCTAAAGTTGCGCAAAATTCAATAAGACGAGTAGCAAAGAATGTCTTTTTACATTTGCACTCACTAGATTTGAATTTTCATTTGAGTCGTCGAACGGGAGCCTTGTCAAAAGCTATTGATAGGGGTACGAGGTAATAAATTTTTATCATTTAGCTAATTATTCATTCTATATTTAGATGTATGTTCTCTTACTTTTTTTATTTCAAAAGCCATCATGATTAAGGGAAATTTCTATATCTCGAATATTGTACTATTTTTAAACGTAGTTCTTAAGAAATTAGTAAATTTGCAATGTCGAATCGTGAAATAAGAACAAAAATAGATTTATAGTTATAAAGCATAAAGAAATAAGAAAATTAGTTTCATGCGATAGCATTTTAAATATTATTTCGATTTTATATTCATTTAAATAATATCTAAGATAATAATTTAACCTAGTTCTCTTTGTACCAGTTATTAACAACAATTTAAAATAACAATAATAAGATTTTTTTAAGATTGCTCATTTCCTATCTTAATTATTTATCAGAAATTATTTCGTCTCTTCCTAGATCTGTAAAGTAGTAATAAAGATATTTCGTATTATTTAAAATTCTATCGACTTGTATTTAGAGTAAATAGAAGCTGGAATTAGTTAATGATGTATAATTAGAGGTAGATCAAATATTCAACCTTGATTTTTATCTAGGTTAGCCATGATCTGATTTTCATGAAGAATATAGATATAATGTTATTATAAACAAACCATACGCTTTCATTATTCTCTTTGATTGTTTAGAAATAATGTTTTAACCTTATCCTTGGAACAGTTTATGATGATGCTAAAACACAGCGTCTCGTCTGGAGCCTATAAATAGTCTATTTGCAGACAAAGTCTCTCGTTAATTTAGTTCTTCTTTCTATGCTTGATATTTTATAATTTTAAGGAGTTTCTTCATTCTATACTGATGTCTTGAAAAAATGTAGTTGTAGCTTAATTATTGTACTTTATAATAAACAAATCGAAGAGTAGAAAAAGGATAAAGTAGACGAAAATGAGACAAAATCTTAACACTTAAATTGCTTTAATTTACGTTAGATAGAAAATATGCTTTAGAATATCATATATATTACAATTTATAAGAAAAGTTCTCTTTCTTCTAAAGCCTATTCCTCTCATGTCCTTGTATTTCTCTTCATTTATTAAATCTTTGTTTCCTAAATATGAAATTAAAGTCTCATGGACATTATACGCTTTTTTTTTATATAGAAGATATGACAGCTGAATTTGACAGTAATTAACCATAGTTGCCATAGATATACAGCATTTAGCTATTTTTCGTTTATTCAAGAATGATAACTTATTTACATAAAGGAATGTATTTTTCATTCGTCCAATTAAACATTTTCCAAGCGATTACTGTTAATTCTGAGACGCTTTTTAAAATTTATAAAAATGTCACATATACTAAGAAATTTCTTTCTGAGTAATCTGTTCTGCAAAGTCGCCCACCGATTTTTTCGGTGCAATACGTAACAGAGAGAGGGAGAGAGAGTTTGAAGTAGATGGAGAAAGAAACGAAAATATAAAACTATTAAACAATTTACTAATCCTTAAAAGAGTCTGTTGGCACGGAATTCTCACATATTCTTCTTAATATTTATTCAGAGGCATCAATTTCGTATTAAGTGCTCTCATTTTCAACGTTGTTCCTACTATTTTAGAAGTTTCCCTTGTTAGTGGCATTCTTGTAAGTTGACTTACTATTAATTAGTATACTAGATTGTTTTTTAATGAAATTTTTTTTACAGTATTATAAGTTTGGATTGCAATACGCCGGGGTAGCCTTAGCTTGTATATCAGCCTATTCGATTTTTACGCTTGGAATAACATCCTGGAGGTATCTATCTAGTTTATTAAAATAAAAATGAAATATATGGATTTATATCTAATTAAAATTATTATTGTTGTACTCTTATTCTTATTCTGTTCTTAATGCTGTTGAAGGACAAAATTTCGGATCCAAATGAATAAAGCCGACCAGGTATGTATTAAACAAAATAATGATAATAATAATCTAATTACCGTATTTCACCTTTAAAAGCATTACTATATATATATATATATGACGCGTGTCTGCATAAGTTGATGTATAAAATAGCATTTTCACTTAAAACTGTGTCATATTTATTTACTTTAATAATATATATTTTGAGTTTAGGTACTAAGGTTTTTCCATGTTTTTCTTAGTATTTTAAAATTTTATAAAAATCTTTTCCATCTAAAAACTATTAACAGGATGCTGGCAATTTGGCTGTCGATTCATTAATAAATTACGAGACAGTGAAATATTTCAATAATGAAAAATTCGAAGCGGAGAGATATGATAAAGCTTTAGCAAAATATGAAGAAGCTTCTTTGAAGACAACTACAACTTTAGCTGGTTTAAATTGGGGTCAACATGCCATCTTTTCTGCCGGTTTAACAGCGATTATGTATTTGGCTAGCCAAGGTATTGCTACAGGTAAGTCGAAATTGATTTTTAATGTGTTAATAAATATAAAATTATACTAAATATATATCTCTTTGTTAATAGGAACAATGACGGTAGGCGATTTAGTGATGGTTAATGGCCTCCTATTTCAGTTGTCGATACCTTTAAATTTCTTGGGTTCAGTATATAGAGAAGTTCGCCAAAGTCTTATCGACATGCAGACTATGTTTTCCCTGTTGAAGGTCGATACTGATATCCAGAATGAGAAAGATGCCCCTAAGCTTCAAGTTTCGGCAAAAACCGCTACGGTAACTTTCGAGAACGTGACTTTCGGTTATTTAGCCGATAGAAAAATACTCGACTCGTTAACTTTTCACGTGGAAGCCGGAAAAAGGATTGCTATAGTCGGAGGGAGCGGTTCAGGGTATGTTTCTTTTCCTCTTTACCGGCTTCGTTGCGTAAAATCACGTTTTTCTTAATTAGTTTTCCTGTTTAACTTTATTAATTATATTTTTATTTACTAATAATTAAACTAGTTTTCTTCCCTCCTCATAATAATTAAAAATGAAAAACTTAAATATCTTTCGTGAGCGAAATAGATTTAAGGATTTAATTTCTGGATGTAAAATTGTATTAAACCCAATTAGTTGTTATGGTAAGAGCACCTTATTTATAAGGTTAAGTGATTATATATTCTAAACACGATAGAAGATAGGAACATCTTATAAATATATAAGCTGCCTTTGATCAGTTAGAATCATTCTTCTTTCACTCCCAAGTCGGCCTCCCTCCTCCCCTTTTAAGGTGGCACTAATTTAAAAAAGTCTTTATATATTTTTTTTATTTTTATATTCATAAAATACAAAACTGCATAAATGAATAAAATTATAAATTCTATTAATATTATTATATTTAGTTCGCTTTTCAAAAATCGATGTAATCAGCAAAGTGAATTTTATTTCTTTTTTGCTTATTCCGTTCTGTTTTTTCTTTTTAGTTAAAGTTACATTTTGCGCTTTTATTTTGCTTTAAAGGAAATCAACTCTTGTAAGATTACTCTACCGATTTTACGATCCTCAAGAAGGTAGAATTCTAATCAATGGCCAAGATGTACGTCAAATCGATTTAGACGATTTTAGAAAATACGTTGGAATTGTTCCTCAGGACTGTGTTTTATTTCATAATAGTATATTACACAATATAAAGTATGGTAATATGGAGGCTTCACCTGCACAAGTGGAAAAAGCATCTAAGATGGCAGAAATTCATGATTCTATAGTTGCTTGGCCCGAAGGCTACAACACTCAGGTTGGGGAAAGAGGTCTAAAGTTGTCAGGCGGGGAAAAGCAGAGAGTGGCAATTGCGAGAGCCATTTTAAAGAATTCACCTATTTTAGTTTACGACGAAGCGACAAGTTCTTTAGATTCTATTACGGAAGGCAGAATATTAGCTGCCTTGGACAGAGTAACTGCAAATAGAACAACGATTGTTATAGCTCACCGGTTATCGACAGTTGTCAACGCCGACGAAATTTTTGTTCTACAAAATGGGCGAATTGCTGAAAGAGGCTCTCACTATGAACTTATCGCCAAAGAGGATAGCCTATATAATCGGTTATGGCAAGAGCAAAATCGAATAATATTTGAACAAGAGAAGGAAGAAACCGAAAAAAAGTAAAAATGAAAAATAAAAACAAATGAAAAAGAATAATTACAAAAGTGTAAAAAAGAAGTTTTCTTTAGACCTGTAAAGAAATCAATCAGGAAATATTTAGAGATATGCAATTGAAGAATTAACTATAATCAATAAATTGCGCATCTCGTTTGTTTCTTTCCAAAATAAACCCATTTAAAAATCTATTTTTCGTTTTACAGATCTATATTTGTATATAGCACATTTATATATATATATTTAAATATATATAAATATATTTCCCCACAAGGTTTAAAGCAGTGATCACGTCTGTTATATCATTTTCTTTTCCTTTTCTCCTTTCATGCGTTCTTTCTTCTTTTTCTTCCATGATTCCTATATTTTTAAAACACGATTCGTGATAGGAACACACAAGAGAACGACTTTCTCTAGGAACTCTTCCTTTCAGTGATCGTAATTCCTATATAAAAAACAGAAATGTAATCCTTTCTTGTGCCGTTTGATCAATTTAACAAAAGTATATTATTCTCTCTTGTAAATGTACAATCGGCACGATTTTGAAAATCAAACGATTCTAATGTTTTTCAAGCATTGCCTATGGCATTCCTAAATCGATATTAACAGACAACTTTGCAGGAAGTGGTCTTTATAAGACTTGCAAGTTTTCAGCAGAAGGGAAGAGGGGGTATTACATAAAATCTCTTTAATTCTCTTGGTCTGTTTGATGTATATGGTAAACGTCAAGGCATTTGATTCGTATATAAAAAGGAGCTCTTTTACATGTAAGAGATCGTTGAATGCGGAATAAGGTATGTTTTTAAATAAACTGCGAATTGCGTATGTTAAAGATATAATAGATGAATAGATACTATAACATATATAAGGTAAAACTTAATCTACGTTTGAAATTCGATTTTATAATGATAAAAAAATACAGCAAGAGTGAGAGTAAGAAAGAGCATGTTTTAAGATGGAGGTAAAAGGAAGAAAAAGTGAGCAAAGAAGGATGACAGGGGGAGGACTGACGTGATAGCAAAGTGTAAAAGTAGCGAGAAAAAGAAGGAAAGAATAATTTGTTTGGCTTCCGATAAGGTTACAAATAATCTAACTGCCGATGTCAGTCCATTCTGTCTCTTTCGTTATATCTTCCTTTCTTCTCAGCGTGCTTACCTTCTTTTACATAAATTAACAATTCTTGTTTTAATTATTTGACCTAAATATAAATACAATATCCATTATCCTTTTTAAAAAATCATACTTGTTTTCAGTTTCTCATCTTTTATGCTATGCTTTCTTTTACTTTTCTTGTTCTTCTCTTCTTCCATCCTTCATATCTAGCCTGTTTTAATTTTAAAAGTAAATTACATACATAAAAACAAGGCGTGACTTTTGAAATTAACAATGAAGGTAAATGTATTAGCACAGTTGAAAATTGCTTTACGTGTAGGAAGCCAAATACTTTTGTCCCTTAATAAAGAATATTTAAGATATAGTTGTATAAACATGGTAGTTTTTTTTATGTATTGTATGAGAAAGCATGGAGAAATACATTATACTTTGTTCATTACTAATACTATCATTAACTATATCAGTATTATTAATATTATTATAATTATGACTAGCAATATATAACATTTTTAACCTTGATGAATTTTTGATGTTCTACCATCACATAGTCTATAATGCGAACTATTTAGTAGCATAGTTTATATATATATATATATATACAGTATATACATATATATATCTACTGTATATACAGTATTATATTAATGCAATAGATTAATTAAGCTCAGTAAAAAATGAAATGTTTCTTCCTTACGGCAGGATAATATATTCTTGAAATGTAACTATGATGGAAAATTGGTAGATAACGCATGGAATAATAATTGGAGAAAAGATGAGGGGAAAAAAGTTTCTACGTCCTATAAGACTTCTTTATATATGGCGGTCGAGACAGGTCAATTATTTTTTATTTAGTAGCATGCTTAAAGATACTGTTTGATGGATTTTTAATTACCCATTACACCTTCAACTTTGAATGTACATCTAATACGTATACTATATAACATTATATATATATATATATATATATATATATATATATATATATATATAAAATACTTACTCTTTCTCACTCCAATATCGTATTATTCCCAGTTATAAGCTGATATTCGAGGATAATTATGAAAGATGAGAGATAGAAAAAGAAAGTATATTCTCAACGATGAAAAAATAAGGATTTCTGTTTGAAATATTCATCCTAGCATCCACTTTGTTTATTTATTTACTTTTTCAAAGGAGAACCTATTTATCTATTTCGAGTTTATGCAATTTGTCCATTTCGTTTCTATATAAAAGGGTATTTACCAAATGAGGTGAGTAATTAGACGGTTGTAGGTAGTCATCTACTTGGATTTGAAATGAATGAACTTGCGTAGATAAATATATTGTAATACGAGAAATTGGCAAGAAAATGATAAAATCTTTGCTGTTTCCACAACGTCTTACTCATAAAAATTTGGCAATTAGTAATTTTGTAATATTATTACAAGTGTATATTTCGAATAAACATAAAGAAATTCTTTTTTCTGCATCAATTACTCCAATGAATCAACTTCCTCTTATGTCCAATATATTGGAATAATTAACTACTTAAAATTATTATTCCAGTGTTCATCTTCAAACATTTTTTCTTTTTATTATATGAAAAAAAAGGAGGCAAACTAAAGCAAAAGTTGAAAAGCTGATTAGAAAGAAATCGTTTCTTTAATCCCCGCTGGAGACTCAAAAAATTGATATTCGTTCTTTTTTAGATCATGTACACTCAATAGGAAGACGTCTCTTCTTATTAAATGTACGTAAACAATATATATATATATATATATACAGTATATATATTATTAATAAATTTTATATTTATGTATAGCGTCAATATATGGCTACATAGTATCTTTATTTAATTTATAATTCTGCATACGCATATAATTTATCATATATTAATATCAATATAGGAGCAATTTTTTTCTTTTATTCAACTGTAAAGTATATTCTGTTATGGAAGAAAAAAGAATGGTACTCCATGATAAAATAAAAAAGGAATTCGCTAGTTTCCTGCTCCTCTATGTATAGAAAACGAGCAATTAGCTGAAACAGTAAACGCATATTGTACTCTCCGTCCTATATCAATTAGTGAAATCGTTCTGTTCGCTAATTTGATAGAGTGAGGCTATCTAGGTGAATAGAAAGAGTGAATGAAAAAATAGTCTATTTTTATATATGTATATATGTCAATATTGTTTCGTGCATCCCGATCGTATTTGTTTAAATTATGTGAGTAAGTTTTTACCGAAAATCTATAAAAGATTGACATCATATATTATTATTGAATGGAATATGATGAGGAAAGATGATAGCTATGAAAACAAGAATGATAGAAGGAAGGAAATGATAAAAAGAAGAAGAATATTATGAGCAAAACAAATCAAGATTGATTAATAATAATAGAAAAAAAGAGAAAAGTAAATAAAACATTTACATAGATTGAATATTAAATAGTGATATTTAGTGGTAGATTTAGTAGAAAATAACTAGCATTATTAGCTGTTTTTTATGAAGAACTAGAAATACAAATAGAAGAAGAAGAAGAAGAAGAAGAAGAAGAAGGAAAATAAGAATAAATAACAATAGTAGCAATGGCATAAGAAGAACAATAAGAAGGTGATGACAATGACGATAAGGAAGTTTTACTGTGAACAATATAGATTTAATCTTTCGCATGCTGCTCTGCTCCTTTTAATGTTTGCTTCAGTTCGATTTTTGTACATTTTCTATTTCAACCAAGTGAAAAATTGTCTTAAGAACTGCTACAATCGACACTCTTCTCTTTTATTCATCTTTAAGTTCTCTTCCATCCATATGATTGATGATTCTCTTTCTTTTCATCAAGATCTTAGCAATTGAGTTTCGCAGGTGTCTGGGTGATTCGGACCTCGTTTCAAATCGGTTAAAGCCATTGAGTTTCGGCTTGGTGACAATGATCTGGCTCGACAACCTAAGCACTCACCCAAAATTGCCCGAAACCGTGAACGAAAAACGCAATAAATAATGAAATTGACACTGGCATTAAATATTTCTAAAACTGTGGCAAATTCGGCTAACCACCAAGATATTGAGCACGGCTGACCAACATCGTAGTGAGTAAGAATGAGAATAAGTCTGGATGGTAGATTACATAATATAAATACTAACACTACTATTATCATTATCTTTGTAATGTTATCCTCACTCGCGGCCGGAGAATTCCTATTCTGTAGGCTGGCTCTTTTTCTAAGTACCACTTTTCTATAGACTATCGTCAACTTGGTATTCAAAAATATAAGAATCAGTAAGGGTAGTCCAAAAGCGAATAGATTGTAGAAAATATTCTGATATAGAAGAGTATAAGATGTATTTATTGTCAAAGTAGATTCTACAGATGCATTCGCATAAACTTTATGCTCAAAAAAGCGTGGTACGTTATAGAGGACGCTGCATATTAAGACAGCAAAGGTAGCAGCTCTCATCCTCGTCAAACTGCACCAAACATTCGCACTGTATGGGCGGCAAACAGCCATGAAACGGGACACAGCCACAAGCACTGTAATATACATGGCAGCCATTTGACCAATAAATAATATTGGATAGGTGTAGACTCTTATGATTGACCAAGCCAAGTTCTTTTGTTGAACTTCAGAATCTCTTGACATAACATAGAGAATATCTCTAACACTATAATGAATAACTGAAAGAATAAGAAAAACTGCATCCACAACAGCCAAACTTTGCAGGAGGAGAGAGGCAACTGGACTACACTTGTCTCGACCAAGAACAAAAAATGAAACAAAATTTCCAACTATTCCAAATATACAGAGACTGCCGCATACTATGACATTCACGTACAAACGGTTGAGCATACAATTATAGGGCACCGTCACATTCATTATCTGACGGAGAAGAGAGACCGACTGCAAAGTTTCAGGTGAGACTTCTCCGCTAGACGCCACCTGGTAAGCGAACGGAACCTAGGGGCGTTTAAGCTTATAAGCATTAGAGTTTATACGAAGTAGTAAATTAATTTACATTCTGTCCACAAGTAACTAATTCCAAAATATTATGTAATTTATTAATTAATTAGCTAAGCAAAACTAGTAAAGGACAAGTTTACGTTGTGATTGGAACAGTTGTAGAAGAATGTGATGATAGTTAATTACCAGGCATGCGAAAGGACCTGCTAAAGAGTCGTATAAGTCTACGAAACTCATTCAATCGTTAAATTCTTCTAGAGTAAGTGGCAGAAAGGTGAATAGACGTACATATATGCTCACACATACATATATATATATATATATATATGTAACATATGTATATATATATGTGTGTGTAGGAAAAAATGAGCATATAGACTCTCATAACACAAACGTTATATAATATATATTATACATTAGTTACATACAAACATGTACACATGCAACCATTGACTAGGGTAATGATGACAATAGAAAAATGAGTTGTAGAAGAGAGAAGGTGAATAAGAATAAACAGATTTGTTATACTCTATAATAGCATACATAGATAGATTGATAGATAGATAGATAACACATTTAAAAACAATAATTACGACTAAAAAAATTGCACTTCTTAATTTAGTTAAAGGTTTTGTTTCTATTTATTTTACTGTTTGTAATACATTTACTGTGGAAAATTATGTTTTCTTAAACTCCCTTTTGTCCTACTTTTAAGAGAAAATTAATTCTATTATTTACCTTTGCTTTACCTTCATGACTTTAATAATAAATAAAGAATGAAAATTCCATGTCAATAAAATGTTTGATGTTTCAAAAAAATTTTTTCCACGAGTACAGATATCATTATATCCTAATAGGAAGTAGAAGAGAAAGTGATCTTCTTCTTTTTTTTACCTTGTAATTTCTATTATCCAGCTTGTTTGTCATCTGGTTCAATGTTCTAGAAATAACACATTTTTTTTTTATCTTTCATTTTCATTATTTCTATAAGAAGTATTTAAAGTATTTTAATTTATCACCTGCTTCAAAAAAAGAGAGTACAATTAATAAAGCCAACTATATAGTTTAACATTTATCAATTAATCTTTTACTATAAAGCAGTTTAAGTGATCTATCGGGTAGGGAGGGGATGAGAAAGAGGGCGCTAATAGCTCTCGATGAAAGTTGTATACAGGAAAAGAGAGTAAGATGCATACAGAGAAAGTGAAAAAGATAGCAAATGAGATAGAAGAATAGAGAGAAAGGTAGAATAATTTTTCTTGCTTTACAAGCAAAGAACGATAATTTATTAACAAGGCAATATGGAAAAGAGAATGGAGAGATGAAGAAAAACAGCAGATTTGTTTATGAATGAATGAGTAGTTGATGTTAATATAGTCTTGTTTACAATAATATTATTGACTTATGAGTTGATAATTTAGAAAATTTACATCCTATCGCATAAACATTAAAGAACAAACGACGTCGAGTCACGTTATAAAAAGCATTAACCTACTCATTTCATCCAATGAAATTAGCATTGATTACTTCCAAGTCCATCAGAAATTAAGGTTATAAGATAATATGAATATAGATAGATGGAGGGTTCATTAGTCGTATAAACATATATGCTTTCATTTGAGGAATCTTTTGTATAAAAATAGATGATACATATACATAAATAGATACAACATATTTTTTATAATAACACAGGGTAATGAGAGGATAATAGAATGATTTAGATATTCTCAAAGCGTTTAATCAGTTTATAAAAGAGAAAGAAAGGAAGAAGAGAAGAACATGATATAACTAGACTCGTAAGTAAAATATGGTTAATTCGATCGGGAATCTGTTAAAGTAGCATCTCAGCGTTATTCCTTAGAACGTTGGCCTGACCGTATATGAAGGTAATTTATTGAAAAGTACTCTTTGTAAGATAAAGTAACTACCAACTACCGGTTTCTTATTCATGTACACATCTTTTTCTTAGTAATTTCATTATATTTCTAGAAAATCTTTGTTATCTACCGGATGTAGATAATTATTTCAAAACCATATTAAATAATTGCGCTATTGTGTTCATTAAAGCTAACTTTTCCTAGTGCTTTTCTTTTAATAACAGCCTAGTTCTGTTCTTTCTCTTTTCATAATCCTAAGGGTTGAGCTATCAAAAGTATAATCAAAAAATTTCGTTGATCATTACAATCGATTATGCAATTTTTTATCATTAATTATGAGTGGACAGCTTGATACTCCGACTTTGACAGATAATACAAATCCATTAATAGATCAGGGTAAGATGATATACTCGTTGATGCGTATGTAATTAGCTTGTGAGAAGAAAAGAAAATGTAATTGTGACGTTTTCTTTTCTTCTATTAGAATATTTTACTTCCTTTCTAATATGCAGAAGGGGAGGGGAGAGGGAATGAGAAGAGAAGAAGATATTTTTCTGATGTTTCCTCATCAAAAATAAACCTTATCAATAAAATTTTTCCCGTAGTCTTGTTACTTCTTTTAATTTTCTAAGAAATCTTTTACCAGAGTCAGGTATAAATGTTACATTTCCATCATAAAATGATCTTTTGTAAGAGTATTGCACAGGAAGAGAAAGAAACAAGTTTAATTTGTTGTTTTTAATATATTATTCCTTAAATGGAATGAAAACAACCTTTATGCTTCAAGCTAGAATATCGTATTTTTATATCTTTCTACTAAAATATTCTATATTGAAAATAGTCGGCGAGTAATAAAACAATTATATTATTTTTAGTATATTATATAGTATAGTTATTAAATAATTGTACATTTATTATAATCAATCTGTACAGAGAAAAATTCTCCTTTCCCAAAAAGAAAATGAATGGGAAAGAATGTAGATGATGAGGTGATTGTATAAATAATACTAGAGTCTTTAGTATTGTATAGATAAGCCAACTTATATATCACTTTTTTTTTTTAAATGCTTAGTTCTACCCATTCCGGTTAATTTAATGGGAAATTATCATCTTTTTTTTGAGGGGCTTTGCAAATTTTACAGGGATATTGGCAGTAGTTATATCTATCCCTTTTAATCTATTTCTCTTTTTATATGTATCTTATCCTTTAACACCATTTCTTTAATTTTCTTCTTTTCAACTTTTCCATTGATTGTCAAACCTATAAACTTGAGGATTTATTTTTATTATTACTCTTCAAACAAGCCTCAGTTCGATGGTAAAACAATTCACTTCGTCCACCATATATATACCTCTTTTCTCAATTCATTCCACCTTCACAGTCTTGACGTCAATTCTTGGTTTTCATTGGGAAAAACAATAGATCTTGTTTCAGGACGCATTATCCAACGAGAAAATAAGACCAGCAGGGATACTCGATAAAGAGAGGAGAAAGCGATTTGTTTTCCTATTATTTAGAAATTTAGCACGTATACTTTATCATTGAAAGTGCGGTATCTTTTATAACATTCGCTCATTACTACACATTTTTATTAAATATAAATGAAGAGAAGAGAGAAAAGAAGGACGAAAAACATAGAGAGAAAGATGAAGAAAAACGTCATTGGGTTTAAGAAACGTACGTATCTTTTGTTGGGAAAATTTTAATTATATCACCAAATATAGTTGTTTGTAGTAATAAAATCAAACAGAATAGCTTTGCCTTATAGTGAATACCATTATAAGTCTCTTAATAAAGGTTAAATTGTTTGTATAATTTCTATTATTAGCACTTTTCCTGTGACTTTGTTCTTTGGAAAACAGAAGAAAAGAACTTTAATTAACGTTATTATACAAAATAAAGAATGGTGTTATCACAAATAAAGATCACATTCAATTACCTGTGTACAAAATATAAGGATGTATAACATTAACTAATTAAATTTTCAATTAACCTGTAATAGAATTTAATTATTAATACTAAAAGAGAGAACTATTTAACGAAACAATACAATCTTTAGAAATCTGATGAAAAATCCAAATGAATAGAACAAAAGAGGAAAAATTACAATACATCTCTTTTCCACTATTTTTTCTTGTGGGCAAAGGTTAAGTAAACTATTTCCTTATAATTTAAGGATACGGAGAGAGAGATAGAGAGAAAGAAAAAGGGGCGAAAAGGAAGACATATTTTGTTGTGTGTAACCGCAAGCATTCTGACGTAGCCATACTAATATAACCTTTAAAAATCTTATGTATTTTAATAGGTAGGCAGTAGATGTATAAAAATGATTACTATAATTTTAACTCAGTTATTAGAAGTCGATAATAGATAAACAAAAGATAAGAAGATGTTAAAATAACAAACGGCTTTTTAGTCATCTTTGATGATTTCATCTATAAAAAAATACGTAGTAAAAGGATAGCGATTTTAATGTTTGTGTATTAGCCAAACATTAATTTTATATTATTTTGTGAAAAATGATATTGGAAAAGGTTCTTTATGCCAATTGTTTGACATTGCAATATTGTTGTATTCGCAGTTTGGACTGTAAATCTTATGTTCTTCGAATGGATCATCATCTTCATCGAAGCCCTTGAGGCCAATAGCGCATTGGAAACATCTCAGTGCTGTATCAAAATTGGCAAATGCAAAGCCTGACAGAGCTGCCCTTCTTGCATTCATTTTCCCATTTTTAAACGGCCAGTGATCATTAAAGCTGTTGTATCTATGCATTAGAGAGCTAAAACTTTCAAATCTGACACTTTGAGTCAATGTTACTGAATCTGGATGAATATCCTTTTTCTCTTCGGGCTGATGATCGATGAAACACCCAGACATTTCTGTACGTTGTATATCAATAGCTTCATCTTGGAAGTTTTTACCATACGATGATAAATCTTGTTTATATTCTGTAAAACCACTTGCATTAGTTGACGCTTGTTTAATTTCATCTTTATAAAGGCTATCCACATTATCTGTTTCACCAAATGAATCTGTACTTTCCTCATCACTCGATACTTTCTCTTCCGGAGGTGGTATGAAATATGAACATGTTGAATGATGATAAGGCAAAATTCTGTTTAAATTGTTAAGTTCTATATCACACACACGATGTACTATTTGACAAAGACAACATATCAATTTAAAACTGTCAAAAAAATATCCATTTTCAACCAGCCGATATTTCATTAGACCTTCCACTGGAGAATTTTTGAAACTGATGAGCCTAATGATCTTCTTTGAGAAATCTCGACTACGTTCGGGTTTCATGTACACTTTGACTGTCTATCTGGCTTTTCAGAATATCACTTTTATATTAAGGTTATAGGAGTTTTATAACCACACTAATATAACCATGGTTATCAGAACAATCTTATGAACATAACCTCGCGTTATCCAGAAAATTTTTATTATAGATATATGGTTATATTGATTAAAAAAGATCCGTTTTAAATTTAGGTTAACCAGCAAATATTAACAAAAAAGTAACATGAACCTCTTAAACATCCTGGTTAAGTCTAGGATTGATATTGGCGAATAGTTTCTTTTCTTCTATATTGTATTTATTATTAAAAGATATATTGTCAATTTAATTCGAACAACATTAAATTTTTCATATTTCTCTGATTAATCGTTGCAAAGTTGAGAATGATTCAGTTTCCTTTTTGTATCTATTGTAATAAGTATTCTATGAGAGTTGTGATGAATTGATAAAATTCATTCATATTTCTGATCTTATGAATAAGGAAAATTTGAGAATTTTATCCTTGTACACTTTGCTTTCAAATTAATATATTAAATAGTAGAATTGTTGAATAATTAATTATTATGGCGCGTAGTTAATTCACAAATTGGAATAAAAAATGACTGTATTTTCAGTTAAATATTGAAACTGGAAAAGTTGTATAGATACTATAATACTGTATAAGTTACTTTGTTCAATTTTGATGAAATATAGAGACTCTTTTTGTTTGAATTAAGCCAATTTATTCTTTTATTTTTCTTCCAAAATAAGCTACAAATAACTTTACGAATAAAAAAAGAAAAAGACACTTTTTAAGGGAATTTCAATATCATTGAAAATTATCAACTTCCTTCTTTTCGTAGACAATTGGTCGTTTTTCAAAATGAAGACCTTTCTTTTCGAAAACAACTGGTTTTTTTTCAAAATGTAACAGCCTTTTTCCAAATTTCATTAATCGTTTTTCAGCTTCTATACCTGACTCTTCTCCGCCAACTTTAGTGGTTGGTTGATTTATCTGCTCCCATACTTTTGATTTTAATCCGGTATACCAAAATACGCATCGGCAACATTCGACACAAGAAGATGCGCATTTAGTTTCGCAAGGATTCTTATAGAGTAGTTGGCAGCTACATCCATCTGCTAGACGTAATCCACCAACAAATAAAAGAGCACCTAAATAAATAGATAAATGAAGAGATCTATAGCAAACAATGTTATAAAACTTTTCTATTTCAAGTTTCTTCAAAAGAACCTTGAAAGAAACAAAAATATGTTGATATACAATATATACAGTATATATATATTTAAATAATTGTATACTTAGAAAGAAAGAAAGATATAATAGGTTCAGTAAAAAGTTTTACTTAAGGAGAAAAATAAGATGCGAAGGCGGCTCATACTCTCAAATTAATGACTATTCAGTGTAGTTGATCCGGCTTTATATAGCACTTAAGTTGATTGCGCCATATTGAAATTTTTATATGTAAAATACTGCACTTCATTTATTATTGATCAAATGGGAATAATCTACTGTTGCTTCTGTTAACTTACTAATATAGTTTCTTCTTTTAATAAGATTTCAACTGATAATGGATAAGCTCAAAGGAGTTTATAATTAGAATATTTTTTCTAAATTCTCATTAGCATATACAAATCTTCTTATTCTTTTTCGTTTTATTATTGAATTTTATCGTTTAATCGAATTATAAATTAATTTAACGAAAATTCAAATAAATTTCTTCTTTAATGTTCTGTTTTTAAAGAATTATCTACATTTCTCTTTACAAATTTATCTATTCCTCCCTCTCTTTCATGTATATATATATATATATATAAAACTTTTAGTGTTATTTCTTTAAAGCTATACTGTTAAAAGTTAATCATTTTGTTTTTTCAACAATCGCCATTTTATTCTTCATTAATATTAGTATACGTTAAAGGTTTGACATTAATTGGAGAGAATTAGGGGCATAAGATAATCTTAACAGTTTTGTTTTTCATATTGGTATTGTAGTAAAGTAACAAAAGATACTAATAATGGCTTGATATAAATTACAATTTGTCGGGTTTAATATCACCTTACTACTTAAAGGAATTAACCTTTTAAGAGAATAAAACTAAACTATACTCAAGAGATTTTAATCTAGTCCTCTTTGATAAACCAAATCTATAAAAATTTGTTTGTTGTTTAATCAGGAAAATATGATAAGGCATCAAAACAAAATTATTATGTTGTGTGTTTTACTGAATAAATGTAGATAGGGAGGAGGAATGGGTTGGCACCAAATAAAAGAGAGGAATAGATAGATAGATAGTTTAATAAAGAAGGAGATGGAGAGAAAAAGAAAATAGTTGTTTACAAAAGTAATCTTGTATCTGAGTGTTTTTTGTTTTTTTATCTTTCCAAAGTTTTTTAGAATACAATGACATTTTTGTTACTTTTACAAAAAAAAAAGAAAAAAATATATCCTAATTATTTTTAAACGGAATGTTTCTTTTTTTAATGAAATCTTTACTGCCATAAATTGTTTGACAAAGTTTGTCCAGAGAATTGTTGGGCGACAGCATAATTCGCTTGTTGGTAGGGTATTTGCTGATTATTTATATTAATATTCGCCATCTGATGTTGCATCTGCTAAAATAGGAACATAGTTAGAAATATAATTAATTAGTTTATAAACTAATTGTATAACAATCTATATTTAATGTATATTTTACCTGCTGCATAGCAAACATATTATTCTGACCGTTGGCAGCATTCTGCATCATCGGAGCTGGATACATATTAAACTGTTGTTGCTGTTGCTGTTGTTGTTGATAGGGATTAGGAGTTGCAGTATAGCACGTTGCCATTCCGATTCCTTGTGTCATCATATTCTTCATTAACGGAAAAAGAATATATCTTATTAAAACTATTTTACTTTGGATTAGTAACAAAGCATCTCTTAGTATAAAAACCTATACATTTTTTATGCGAGGAAAAAAAACCATAGGAATAGAGATTTTAAAAATCATTTGTTAACTGAAACCAAATTGAAAATTGTTGAAAGCCCCTGCCACCTTTAGTAACAAGCCTGTATGAGTATTTTAAGTAAAAGAAGCCAAAAATTTAGACTATAATCAACTAGATAGGCTAGAAATATCCTACATTCCCATTCCTATACGTAGCAAGAATATGGACAATAATACATTGTTTTTAAATAGCTGTTGTGAAGGATAGGAAAACTGAACATTCAAAAATTCCCTTCCATTCATACTAGAATAAAGAAAATAATGAAAATAAAATACAAGCATACACATAAGAAAAACTATAAGAAAGAAGAAATATGATTGTTCATATTTCTCTTTTCGTAAAACAAAATAGTATTCAGTCGCCAATAAATGAAATGAAATACCGATTGGTTAGGACCTATGTGAAAATAGGATTGGTAAGTTTGGGGTAAATTTAATCCTATTAATAAATCCCTTTTCATCGATTGATAAGCTTCCTGTGTAACGAAATTGAGCGCAATATATAATTAGGTATGATCTAAGCAACAACTGAAAAATGACTAACATAACAGTGGTTTTAACCTTAAACATAAGATAAACAATTGACTAATACTTTATATTTCTTAGATAATCAGATTTTTTTCTATATATATATATATATATATATTAATATAAAACAATTATTAATTATATAAAGTATTAATAGGGAATACAGAACGAAAATTAAAGATCTAACGAATGTATGGAGTAAAAAAAAAAGCGATATAGAAAAAGATTAAAGAAGCAACTAGCTAGCGTAAAAAGATGGGAACGATAAATTAAAACAGGAAAATAAAAAGTAAAAGAAAAAAAAATACACTGGAAGAATTCTTGATATCATTCTTTTCATTTATCTCTTTCACATAATGGAGTTGCGGTTCAAGTATCATTAAATTTGATTCATTTGAGCTATTCACCTCATTATTATCCTTCTCTTCCTAGGTTTTTGGAAGTATCGTTCATTAAAAAATGTTATTTTTGTTATTATTATTTATTTATTTTATACTTGATTAATCCATTTAATATATTTATAAAAGTAAGCTAATCCTATTCTTTTTTTCATTATTTTACAATAAGGAAAAAGAATTAAATTTCCACTGAATTGAAATATATTGTGTTGATGTTTTTGTTTGCATAGTAAACAAAAGTGCTGTACGTATAATAAATAATAACTATTTACCTGTTGTGGCATCATAGACTGATTAGCAAGAAATTGCTGCTGAGGCTGCGTTTGAGGTGGAATACCCGGATTGTAAGCAAGTGAAGTATTAGGCATTGGTGCTAATGTTGTATAAAAAAAATATAAACATATATATATATATATATACTGTATAATTATTGTATCAAGAAATATCTCTGTAAAGAATCATTACCAAACATTTGCTGATTCATAGAAGAAGGAACTGCATCGCCGTACAAAGCCATAATATCCTTTGTACTCATTTTACTATCATTTAACGGTACCGAAGGCTGTTTTCCCGATCCGAACAAATCCGACAGCTCCTTTTCTGTAAAGGGTATTTATAATTGAGTTAAGTTGATAATATAAGAAATTGAATTATTATTAATGAGTATAGAAACCATTAGAAGTCGTTTCTGCCGGCGTAGATTTCACAGGTGGCATACTCATAAAATCACCAAAATCACTATCCGACTGCAGCTGTTGACCTGTAGTTGATGCTGGATCCTCTGAAATGAGACGAAGTATAGATGAATAAAAAAAATTAAAAAAGCCAACTATTATACCTAGGCCAAGTAAATCGGCAGAAGCTGATTGACTATTGACTGGTTTAACAACTTTCTCTTGAGCTTGAGAAGTGGGTTGCTTCACTTTATTAGAATTAGATATAGTAGCTTCCTAAATGAGATTTCGATTGTTGAAGAATGAAGGAAGGAATAAAAGAAAAAAAAATTATTATTTATTAATCAGTGTACTTGTAAAATTTACATAGTAGTACAAACACGTTATCTATATACTGTATATACAGTATATATATATTATATGCATACTTCACTTACATTAGAAGGCATAGCAACGGCCGGGGGAATTGTCTGTTTTATTCTAGCTTTTGTCTTTCTTACAGCTTTTTCTTTATCATCAACAGGAGTCTAAGTAAAATAGAAAAAAAAAAACACTTAAAATGTAAATATATAGTTTCTAATAGATTTTTATTAAGTTTTTTATTTGTAACAAAATTAAAAAAGAAATTAAAGTGTCTTATATCATCCTTTTCATTTTTTTCTCTTTTCAAAGAAATAATAAAATAAGAGAGAGAAAGAGACAATTCAAAAAAGAGAAATAACTGAAAATGAAGGAAATAAACTACAAAAATAAAAAAGGAATAGTTAAAAAGTATTCCTTTTTGTGCGTTTTATTTTATTATTTTTCTTTTAAATTGAATATATTAAATAGAATAAACACTACAAATAAAGAAGGATGGGGAAAGGATGGAAAGGGGCGGTTGAAAGAGTAGAGAAAGAGTAAAAAGAAAGGAAAAGTAACTATATTAATAATATAATATAGATATACTTTTGAATAACAAAATTAAAAGTTTGTTTAATTTTTATACCTGATCTTTTCGATCGTCTCTTTTCATCTAATTGAGTTTTTTTTATATTTTTTTAGAGAGTGTCAAATGTTAAATTAACATTTTGTTTTTTTGTTTTTTAATAAAAAAAATGTTAGTACAAAAGAAAACAGAGGAAGATAAATAAATAAATTAATATCATTTATTCTATTATATAACTTACCTTTAACTTTGGATGCTGGGGTGGTATCCATTCTTTCGCAATATATTTCTTTTGCTCATATTTAGCTCTAATAAATGCCTCTAAAGATCTGAATAATAAAATTCATTTCTTTATTACTTTATATACAGTATATATATATATATATATATATATATATATACAGAGTATATAATTTTATACGTGTTTAATTGGTTAATAAGATCGATATTTAAGTAAAAAAGAAATATGAAATCAATCGCTTACGAATCAGTTTGAGGTCGACGAAAATGATCTGGTAAATTAGCTTCGTAAACAGCTCTACCCCTACTATTCCCTATTTCTTGAACCATCTGTAAAAGTAATAGAAAAAAAGCTGAATTATTAGGTTTTAATAATTAGGTCGAATAGAATAAATAGACTGGGTTACTACTTTAAAGTTTTATAAGAAATATATATATTAAAAAAAAGCAACAAACAAGTACAGCTGCTTCTTAAATTGCGTTTTGAAGTCAGCTTGTTCCCATTTACATATGGTATATATGTAAACTATATATACATATATACAGTATATATATATATATTAGTATATATTACATATAGTTATTTGCTGGTTTATGATAATAAAAAAATCTATTGCATGCATTAAAGTGTTTGCCATAGAAAACAACTCATAGAAACTAAGATTGATTAATAGAAATATCCTCGTTAGTTAATGAGTTGGGTTTTAATATCATTTGTGAGTCATCGTTTTAGGTGATTTTTTTTCGATAATTTCTTTTGTACTGATACAAGTTACTGAAATATTGTGTCAATTTGCCTTATATATAAAGAATTATTATTAGTTTAAGATACAAACTGCAATTTGTTCAGCTGTCCACGAATCCAAGTTTACAGATCTAACTTTCGATATATGACAGCCCAAATTACGATGTATCCCTGCACATCGAATACACAAGAAGACACCTAGATTCCATGATGCCCAACGTGGCCCTAACAAGTGGGAGTGCGTTAAATTTTTGTATATAAACAAATGAGAAAGGTATTTAGGTGTACCTTTAGCATCACAATCGGCGCAATATTTGTTATCGTCATCTTTTAAGAGATCAGTTAAAATACCCTGATACTTTTCAGATTCTGCTTTCTTATCCCTCTCAGTTTGTCTTGTCATTTTTTCAGAAATAATCGATTATTAAGAAAAGTCTTGTCCGAAATTGAAGTGTCAGCCGACTGGTGGAAGTTACTACACCGAAGAAAATAGTTCGACTTTCCTATAACGATAAAAACAATTATTAAATTTTTACATTTCTCTCTACTATTTTTTTTGTTAAAACTAACAATTTTAACTTATATACAGTTAATGTGAATGATATTGTATTAATAAAATACAATCAATTTTATAAATACAAATTTTTAACGATATTAATGACGCATTTCCTGTTGGCGCTTGTATTTCGAAGGGTTCTTTATTTTATAATATATATATATATATATATTATTTTCTATACATGTATTATAATTAACGATCGTAACAATGGATATATATATATATATATATAATTGATCCTTTGATGTAATTGGATAAAATTAATTTAAAATTTATAAAAGTTCAAAATCTCTTTAATATTTTATTATATTAAAAAGATTACAAATTAGTTAACTTGGGTTTAACTTATCGTTAAAGCCTTTTGTATGAAAATTCTTTAATGTAAGATTGAGGTATATGAAGTTAAGATCAGTATAATTTCTATAAATCGCTAGAGGTTAGTAGTTCACAATAGATCAAAGTTAATTTGAGGCGATGAGTAGAAGATTAAATTACTTTTTCGCTATCTGATTAAATTATTGAGGTAAGAGACGAAAGAGAATGTTTAAAGTAAAGCATCTATATCCTAAGATTCCTTTCAGAAAGCTTAAATCATAGACTTATAGATTTTAAATAAGAAAGAAACAAATATCAATTATGTTGTTAAAGTATTAGCTTTTTTCTCCCTCTCACCATCTCTGTCTCTTTCTCTCTATGTTCCTTAAATAAATATAAAATATTTACGGTGTTTTGCAGTTGATTTTCGAGGTTCTATACAGTATTTAGTATATTTAGAATTTTAATGTACTATATCATTTAACCATTCAAAAGATTGATCTAGTTGATTCCTTTAGTTTTTCAGTTCTACTATAAAAGGTTTTGGTCTGTCTTTAACGTTATATACTTTTTTAATTATACATACAGCATCTAGTTCTTATGCTGAAGAAGTAAATTCGAAAAGAAGAATAATTACTTGGCCTGAGTGTTTTGCCTTCAGATGTTGGTATCAGTAAAAACTGTTATAGATTGTTTCGCTATTATCTAAGCGGTTAAAATATTAGGACATTTGACATTTTGCTGCTAAGAATGGCTAATCATAGCTTAGATAATAGTTTATTAAAAGTCCCTATATCAACGGGATTTAGAAGACTTTTCTATATCGTAAAGCCCAGCGAGAGTTCATTCGCAAAGGAAGCTGAAGTTCCAAACTATGTAGACGAGGTAAACTAAACTGTGTCAAGAACTTTTAGATAGTAAACACCTGACTTTGTACTCTTTCTAAAAAACACTCAGGCTATTCCATTCTTTTTCACTCTAATCATTCTGGAGAATTGTCTCAATTGGTGGCATGGTAAGAAAACTTGGAGAATAAACGATGCTGTCTCTTCTGTATCATCTGGAATGGTTAGCCAATTACCTCTGTAAGTTTTAAATTAAATAAGTTATAATTTTTAAATAATTTAGGTAAAGTTTTGTTGAATAATAAGATAGGATAAGAATGAGAAGAGAAAGAATAACAAATAAAGTAAACGATGATGAAATGATAACTAAAGAAAAAATTTATTTTCAAATAGATTGCTTAAATAGATAATAAGTTATTATAATTTATACTATCAATAATAGTACGGTCAGGTTAGAAATTAGGATACTACCTAAATTTAGCTAAATTAGGTCTATAATTTCCTGGATTTCCCAATTATGGAAATAGTATATTTAGCATTTAAATTGATGTATTATTCTCTATATTTGTATTCTTTTTATTCGTACCTTTTTAGTCTATTTGGAAGATCTATTGAAGTTGCGGCCTATTGCTATGTTTATCATAATTTTCGAATTAAAGAATTGGATTGGAATTGTGCAACAACTTGGTGGATTGCTGCCATAGTTGTTGATTGCGGTTATTACTGGTTTCATAGAGCTGCTCATGGTTAGTTTACTTATAATTATTTTCTTGGAATATATTTCCTATTAGAATAATCCTTTATTATAGAAATCAATTTATTCTGGGCCGGCCATCAGGTACATCACAGCTCTCAAGATTATAACTTGGCTACAGCTCTAAGGCAATCTATTCTGCAAAGATACACTTCATGGATGTTTTACTTGCCTATGGCACTTTTTGTTCCGCCTCAGGTTTTCATGGTTCATATACAATTCAATCTTCTTTATCAATTCTGGATTCATACTGAAGTAGGAATATATAACATATAATTTTAATATTTTACGATATTTACTTATAAAATAGCTAGTTGAAAACTTAGGACCACTTGAATATATTTTCAATACACCAAGTCATCATAGAGTTCATCACGGAAGAAATCCATATTGTATTGATAAAAATTATGCAGGAACTTTAATAATTTGGGATAGAATGTTTGGAACATTTCAACCGGAAACTGAACAAGTAGAATACGGTTTGGTTCATCCATTGCAAACATGGAATCCTATAGAAATACAAATTTGCCATTTGAAATGGATATGGCAAAGATTTAATGAAGAAAAAACCATTAGTGATAAATTATCAGCATTGTTTAAGGGACCAGGATGGCAAAGAGGAACACCACGATTAGGAAATCATGAAGATTTACCAGAAGTAAATATTATAAAGAGCATTATTTTATTGTTATTTTCGTATTATCTAGTAACTTAGTACTTTATCTTTAAGGTTGCATTTAGAAGCTTTAAAGATTAAATGATAAAAGTAGAAGAAAATTAATAACATTTTGATATGTTTTCTAGGAGTACTTTATCATAAAAGTAAATATGTTATAAGAGAATTTCTTTTATCTTTTTCAGGTCGAATATCCAGTAAAATGTTATGATTCAAGTATATCACCGATGTATAGTATTTACATACTCGTTCATTTCCTCATTTTGAATATAACTTACACGGAAATGGTTCAATTTCGAGCTGTACGTTGTTATTTCTTGATTTCGTATATATATTAATGATAACATATTTATCTACAGGGGTTGACACCTGTTCAAGTAACACTGGCTATAGTATTTATCCTCTTTTCACTGACAACATTTGGCTGCCTTAACGATCGAAGGTTAGATAATAATAATAATATTAATTTATATTTTTAAACTCTATCAAGACCTATTTTTAGATCATACGCTCCTTACTTAGAAACTGTAAGATTATTAGTTCTTCTAGGTTTATTCTTTCACTTTGATCCTGAAAATAATTTACCATCTAAGTATATTTTTTACTTCGTAAGTATACATAATCCTTTTTAATATTAATATTAATGTTCAAGATTATCATGTTACTTAATCATTTATGTGTTTGCAGTTCGTTAAAGTCTTCTCTATGTTCAGCTGCTGTCTATTTTCACTTATTTCGTATCGTTATTTCAGTACTGGAATATACTTTGATGAGAAGCTTAAAGCTAAAACAGCTTAAGATCAAGTTTCCAAAACTTCAAAACCATTGTGTATTTTTATATTAAAAAACAACCATATAAAGTTCAAAATATTCAGTTTGAACACGATTATTTTTATATTATTTATTGAAAAATACAAAAAATTCCACATTAATATTAATTAAAGAAATACTTTTTAATATGTACATCTTTTATGGTCTCTATAATCTGTAATTACTATCTTAGATTGTTTGAAAGGAGGAAAATTTTGCTGTAAAAGATATATCTATTTGAAATGATACGAAAACTTCTTTGTAAACTGTGAGAAAAGATTGAACAAAATCAATGATCACCCGGTCGAACAAATAGTAATTGATCCACAGCGACTGTGAGCGCCGTCTATTTTTTGAATTTCCTTTGCTGATTCTCCAATAGCAACCAGGGAATATACAATTCTTTAAGAGATATAAACAAAAGTCCAACTTATTAGATTTAAGTGTTGAAAAATGGCTAAAACTTTAGAAACTCATCCTTGTGTGGAAACACCTCCTGCGGGACTGAAAATTGCTCCGGGTTCTCTATCAGCTTCACATTTTACGGTATGTCAAGATCCACAGACGATTCCAGAATCTATGGAATCAGTTTTTAAAAGGGACTATCCACCATGGCCGATTGACAGTCGTCCTTCAGCCGCTGATCGTTTACAACCAGCTAAATTATTCGGAGTTGATGATCGTCATTTTAATGCCAGAGCTAGCGAAACAACTCATGCTTATCCAGCCTATGATGCTTGTAAACCACAATTAAGATCTGATAGGTTGAAGTTAGCTTCGACAAATTTCAAGATGGATGCCGATCGAGATAAGATACCAGCTGAAATAAGTACTCAAAAAGCCGATTATACTCCTAAGGCTTGCGACAGAGCAAGAGCTAATCCTCAGGCGAATTTGTCAAGTATTCCCTTATATGGTTTACGGTCAGATGTCCCAATGTCTGATTACAAGGATAGATATAGAAAATTCGAGGCTGACAAACCGGAAACAATTAGACCGGCAGAAGGAAAGCCAACAATATTAGGAGATCAAAGACAACATTCATATACTACAACTCATAGAAAAGTTTTCGAACCAAAAACAGCTGAAAGATTACCCCCTCTACCGGCTCCCGTTGGCAGTAATATACCAGCAGGTATAATAGAATATCCATCAGTATAAATACAATCAAAGTTTTAAGATGTAAGTCTTCGCTACTTTATCTTAAATAGGTGATCCAGAGAAAGTAGGAACTGGTCCAACCGTACATCAAATGAGCTATGTCAAGCATGATCCCAGCCTCTTAAAAGGCTATAATAGATCAGCTGTTGCAGGTAAATTGCAACAAACTCATTTCGATCAGACAGACGGTTCTGGTAGATACGATAACTACTCAACAACTTTCAAGGATAGCTACGTGCCTCTGGCTGCTCCTGAAAAGAATTGGAAGATGTCAAAACACAGGAACCATAGCGACTTGCCACAGGGTGATCCCAAGCCCTTTATAGCTTGCACAACTCACAAAGTCGATTACATTCCTAATAGAGTTGACAAAGTTAATCTAGTAAAAGGAGCGGATAAGAGAACAGCTAGTAACGTAGAATTCGGTGATCCTGATCAAATGACGTCCTTTTATTCAACCACAATGCGAGATGAATTTACACCAAAAGAGGGTGCTAAGGGTTCTTGTGTAATGGATAATAGTAAAAGTTCTATTCCAATTAAGTTGTATGGTAATTTGACCTTATATTATCCTTCTCTTTCACTAGCTTCTTTTTCTTCCTTCCTTTACTCTCTCTCTCTCTCTCTCTAAATTAGATATTATATAAATCTCTTTTTTAATTTTAGATAATTCATTTGATGATGGTACAACGTACAAAAATGATTTTATCGAAAAGAGACAAGATAAGCTCGTTCCAGATCCAGATGCCCTTGACAACGTAATAATTTATTTATACTTTACTAAACATAAGCCTATGAAGTATAAAGATTTAATGAAATTTCTTTTTAACAGTTGAGAAAGACACACTTTGACGCTCCTTTAGCTAACACAAGAGAATTTAAGACAGAACATAGAGAAGCTTTCGTTCCATTCGCTGCAACTGATAATGTTGGCGTTGACCCAACAAAATTGCAGAGGAGTTCTGTTCCATTGGGAAGTCTTGGAAAAACTATAGTGCAAAAAGATAATACAACGTATTATTCGGATTATGTTAACCCAGTTAAAAACAAATTTCTGTGTTAAAAACAGTTAGTTCTCTATCGTTTTACTTTTTATTAACTATTGGCTATTCAAATAAAACAATAAATGAATAAATGGTTACAAGTAAGTAGAAATAGAGAGAGAGAGAGTTTATTCTCAATCTTTTCAAACTCCAACAACAACAAACATAACCACAAAACTCGTTAATTTAACAACATTTAAGTATATTATCATTGTCCAGTTTATCCATAGGAACTATATTACTCATGATCTGATATTGTAGACGTAGTTGTACCTTCAGTCGTTTTTTGGGATTTAGTTCTCCATATATTCAAAAATTCGGAACGGAATTTAGTACCAGTTAAGCAATATATATAGAAATTTAAAGCGCTATTACTGGTCATTAGTGGCACCAGTAATCTTATGACTTTAGTTAATCTTATATCTGATTCTTTTTGTGATATATATGTATTATTAAAATAGAGAATAACGTTGAGAATATGAAATGGTAGTGATGAAATTATGTAATATAAAGATATGCCAAGTAATGTAATTGTCATTTGATTCAATTTCTTATTAGATTTATCATTTTTCATTGTTGTTACCTCTTTTCTTTTATTATTAGCTTTAACCAATGTCCATATCATTCCAATATTTATTGTCAAAAGAACGAATGATGGAATTAAGCAACCTCCATAAGCCATAAATTGTAACATGACTTTTTCATCGAGAAATCTAGCCGTTTTTGAAACTGCTTGACAAGAGTAGAACGACATCCATTTATTATATGGGTTTTTATAAGGTATAACTCTCCCCTTTCCATAAGTATAGTAATAATATATAAAGGTAAAAAATGTTATTAGAATAATAAGGCAACAAGATATTTTCGCCTTGAATTTCGTACATATTGATTTGGCCTTTGTAGGCAAAAAGAAGTAAATACTTCTATCAACTGTCATTGCAACAATTAACCAAGCACTTCCAAATACAGTAAAATAATAGAAATGTGCGTAGAATGCGCAATGTAAGATTTTCGAACTATTATCACTAATAGAAAAGAAACCATAGTAGAAATCTAAAGTAACTATTGTACATTGAAAAGATAAGGTCACTGTATCAAATATTGCTAAATATCTCAAATAAATTGACATTGTTGTATGATTAAATCCTTTTCTAGTATTGATAATAAAACTCATAATATTACCAAAAACACCAAAAACGAAAATTAAGACATACATTACTGTACCCGAAATTGCAATATACTTTACATATGAAAATGATGGAATTTCACCAACAAAAGTTGTTATTGTTGAATTTTCCATCATTCCTTTCTTCTTTCAACTATTATGTATCGAAAAGTGAAATATTCTCATAGATAATAGAAATTCTATTATATCTTATACATAAACTATTTATACAGGTTATTTTCCCCATTATTGAAGGGTGTGGGTATAATATTTATATAATAATACGTTGTTAACCATTCTTTATCTTAATTATTATCTACTTTTGAAATTCATATAGTATTTCTAAGTTTTTAAATCTTTAGATACTTTATTCTTAAAGAAATAAATGATAAAGACTTCTCTTAAAATATTACACAGAAAAATGTCTTTAAAACCTTTTTTTCTCTTTTTTTAAATGATAAAAAATGAACTTAGATATACAGATCAAACACAGAACTAATACACTCTTAAGATGAAAGTTCTACTATTTTCTTCTTATATATTTGCTATTCATTATTAGACTTACTAAACTCAGTCAAACATTTTTAAGTTTTCCAACGTGGGAAAGAGAAAGAGAGACTTAAAAGACAAAAAATTGTATTCAAAATATAGTTAATTCTCATTAAAACTCTCTATTATTTCTAATGAAAATAACAACAGAATGACAATGTTAATTTGACAATATTTAATTATATCAACATTGCTTAGTAAATACACAATAAGAATTGAATGGTACAATCAGGTTTTTGCAATTTAGTTCTCCATTTATTCACAAATCAAAAACTTGGAATCAGTTAGGTAATTTATTACTTATTGTAACAGAGATTCATTTTAGAATAGAAGTCTACCAAAATCATAAGGGATGGGAACTTTCATCAGTTGAATTGGTAGTGTTGAATGTATATTGATCAATGTTTATATCATTCTAGAATTTACTATTAGAACAGTCAAGCAAACTTATATAGGTATTAATCTCCATCGAAACCTTAAAATCAAGAAATCTGGCAGCATTTGTAACTGTTTCACAAGTGTAGATAGACATTTAGTTATTAATAAGGTTTCTATAAAACTCGTAATATTTCTTCAAATTTAACTTTGATATTCCTATATATTAGTATATATATAAATTTATATATACAGATATAATTATATATGAGAGATGCTACACATTCTTTATGTTAATTATAGTCTATGTTTAATATTTCCAAGTCTGTACATCCTTAGATATGTTACTCCTAGAGAAATAAATAGATAAATGAAAGAGAATTTACAAGACAATCTACTAGAAATTATCTTTAAAATATTCTACTTAATATATGTACGATATATAATTTATGATACATTCTAAATTAGTCTTTGACATGAATTCATTTAACTTGAAGTTTTAGATTGCGTAATACTTTCTTTTGTATTCGGTTTGTAACCCCATAGTTTTAAAAATTCATTACGAAATTTTGTACCAGTTAGACAGTATATATAGAAATTTAATGCGCTGTTACTAAGCATAATCGGACCTAACAATCTTGCATATTTTATTGTTTTTATATCGGTTTCGTTTTGAGATACGAATGTACCATTAAAGTAAAATATAATATTAGAAATATGCCAGGGAGAAGAAGATATAATGTAATATAAAGATATGCCAACTAAGGTTATGGTCATTTGGTTTAGTTTCTTCTCAGATTTATCATCATCCTTTTTGTTCGTTACCTCCTTTCTTTTTTGGCTAGCTTTCACCAGCGTTGATATCATTCCAATGTTAATTGCCAAAAGAATAAACGATGGAACTAAACAACCAGCATAGCCTATAAATTGTATCATAAACTTTGAATCGAGAAGTCTAGCTGTTCTATTAACGGCTTGACAAACATAGAACGACATCCACTTGCTGTAAGGATTTTTAAATGAGACTACTCTTCCTTTTCCATAAGTATAATAATAATGAAAAAATCCTATAAAAGTAACCACTGCAATTGTTGTACAAATAACCTTTGACTTGAATCTGGTTGAAATGACTTTAGCCCTAGTTGGTAGAAAAAAGTAAATACTTCTATCAATTGTCATAGCAACAATTAACCAAGCGCTTGAAAATACGGTAAAGCAATAAAAATGGGAGTAAAATGAACAATTCAATATCCTAGAAGCCATATCAGGTAGCTCGTAAAAACCGTAGTAATAATCCAATTGAACTACTACTGTCTGAACTAATAATGCTATTGTATCGATAATTGCCAAAAATCTCATGTAAATTGACATTGTTGTATGATTAAATCCATTTCTTCTGTTTATAACAAAGCTCATAACATTGCCGAAAATACCAAAAATTACTATTATTGAATACAGTATAGTAGTTGTAATTGTAATGTATTTGGAATAAGAGAATGATGGAATTTCCCCGGTATATGTCTTACTGGAGTTATCTGTTAAATTTGAGCGTTCCATGATTATAGAAGTTTATTTGAAAGAAATTTTATAGGTAAAGTTTACTAGAGTGATAACTTTTTAATAGGTGTTTATATATATATATATATATATATATATATTCTAATTAGGGTGTTAATTATCTTCAAAAACGCTCACAAATCATTAATAAGTGCAAATCAATTGTCTATTTCTCTTTCATATATAACTTTATTCCTCTATCGTTGAATATATTGAATATTTAACTAATTTTGAACATCACTTACGTAATAATATATCTTCTTACCTACTAAGAATAAAGAGAGGCAATACTACTATTCAAGTTAATATTCATATTGTATGAATAAATTCAACTTTTCTGTTTTATTATTTAACTTTAATCAATTTTTTCTTCTCTTTTCATTTATAAAACTTCAAATAAAAAAGTTATTGATAAATGAAACTAGAAACTAAACTTTTGATGATGAATTATTTAGGTACAAAAATAGAGTAAGTATGCTTGCTTAATCGTTTAAAATATCTTATCCAAAAATCAGTTGCATTGTTGTTCTATCGCTATTTCTTACCTTTTTAATATTTAATAAATATAAATATAATTATGGTCTAGTTTTTAACCTTAAGAAAACATTAATTTTTCATTAATGAGTATAATAAGTATTTACTATATGTATACTTTGAATATATATAGTAGTTAAATGGATATATAGATAGAGTTACTCTTTATTTCTACCTAAAAAGAACAAGTTTAGTAAATAAACCTTTAAAATACGAGTACTGTAGTTAAAGATAATAAAAAAAACAAGAGCATAAAAGGAACAAATAGGATATTGTATATTCAAGTAATTTATTTAAATATGATAATTAGCTTATTTATTATTCATAAAGAAGAACAAATAAATCAAGGGAAAGTTGAAATTATTTCTAAAAGTTATTTCTAATGGAAATGTTCATAGGGAGAAGGAGACTAATGAACGGAACAAATGAAACGGATTGTTACGAAAATGATGCTACTTGTTACTCTGAATTAAAATATATTGTTGCAATAGCAACATTCTTTTATTTAATCATTTTAATTCTTGGTATATTTGGAAATGTAATGAGTTTCATTATCAATAATAGAAAGAAGATAAAGAATACAACAATGTCAATCTATTTAAGATTTTTGGCAATTTTTGATACAATAACCTTATTATTTCTTATATTATATTCATCTTTCTACAATTTCTATGGATTTTTCGATATAAAAAATACTTCTTTACAAGAGTTTTTATGTACATTAGCACCGCATTTTTATTATTTTACAATACTTGGAAGTTCTTGGCTAATAGTTGCCATGACCATTGATAGAAGCATCTACTTTTTCTACCCAACCAAAGCTAAATTTATATGCACTAA